TTATTATTTATGACACTGTTTGTTGTAATGCTGTTATGCTCCTGTCTTGTGTTTTTTTTTCTTTCTTTTATGCACCTTCAGTTGTGGCACCCAAAATTTTGTTGTATAGGTGGCTGTACAATGACAATAAAGGCTATCTTATCTTATCTTATCTTATCTTATCTTATCTAACATGGTGATAAGGCTACTAAGCTGCTGGCACACCACTTACGTCAGATTACGTCATCTCATCAAATTCCTAAGATTCAGACGGACACAGGCAGAACTACAGATGACTACTCTCTTGATGCAGAGAAAGCGTTCGACAGAATCAAGTGGAACATGGAATCTGTTCTACTGTCTCAAGAAATTTGGTCTAGGTAAAAATGTCATCACTTGGATTAAATTTCTTTATTCATCTTCCAAGGCATCTGTTAGAACTAATCCAGTGCAGTCTTACTATTTTCCCCTGTACCGATCCACTTGCCAAGGTTGCCCTTTAAGTCCCCTTTTATTCGCCCTTGCCACTGAACCTCTATCAATTCGCCCTGCTAACTCTGGAATCTACAGGTACGGAATACATGTTAAAGTCTCCCCTTATGCCGATGATTTGCTTTTGTTGTTGTCTAACCTGTCTGTTTCAAACCCTGCTGCCTTAGCCACTCTTCAAACATTTGGTCAGGTCTCTGGATGCAAACTGAACCTCAGCAAAAGTGAGATAGTTACTATAAATGATGGAGCTAAGCAATTTCCCCAACATAAATTCCCCTTCAAAATTGCCCACAACAATTTCACCCATCTGGGAATCAAGGTCACACTTAAATTTAAAGATCTTTACAAAGCTAATTTTACAACCCAGAAGCATTTTGATTGTTGGTTACCTCTAAATCTGTCATTAGTTGCAAGAGTCAATGCTGTTAAAATATGTGTTCTTCCCCGGTTCTCATATCTGTTCCATGTCTTCCAGTCTTCCTCTCCCAGGTGTTCGTAAACCGGACAGTTTAATCTTAGAGTTCTTGTGGGTTAAGAGAACACAGAGACTGTGCAAACAATATTTACAAAACCCAAATCACTTGGAGGGTTGGCTTTATCAAATTTTAGATTCTACTATTGGGCTGCTAATATTAGAATTTTACTGGCTGGGCTATAACACATTTATATCACCTCCGGTTTGGATTGCCATGGAGTCTAATCCTGTTAAACCAGTGTCTCTTATGGCAATTGTTCATTCCTCATTTGCTCCTGCAGCCTCTGTCTTGTCTAAAAATGTTATTGTGAGATTGCCACCGCCATTTTGGTTTACAAGCATTCGTTATTTATGCTCCCCTGGCTTCAAACCATGCGTTCCCACCTTCCCTTGTAGATGATGCTTTTTAACTCTGGTCCAGGTGAGGTTTTTGCAGATTCAAGGACCTGTATATTGATAATGTATTTGCTCCTTTTAACATCTCTCATATAAATATAAAACTCACTACCTAAGCAACATTTCTACAGATATCTGCAAGTCTGTTCCTTTGTCTGCTCTAGATTTCCTGGATTCCCAGCTTTACCTATGAACACACCTCTTGATGAAGAGGATGCTCATAAAAAAGCCCAATCTATTTCTAGATTTGAACTTTTAAAGAAAAATAAAAGAAAATCCCCTTGACAAGAACAGACTTATTTTGTTACTGGTTATAGTTCACTGGCAAATCCCAAAATCAGTTTCAAGAACTCCCACACTATGCGATAAGTTAGTGCCTAGTCATCCCTCTGTCAAAAAAAAAAAAAAAAAAAAGCAACCATTGTACTAATATAAAGGGATGTAAGCAATTCAGTGACTTTAAGACTAACAAGGTGTATGACATCAAAACATTCATTAACTGTAACACTACATTTGTTGTGTATCACTTATCCTGTACCTGCGGTTGTTTTTACATAAGTCGGACTAAGAGATGGTTGAAAGACAGAGTCTCTGAGCATAAGTATGCTCAGAAAAGCTAATTTGGGTTATCCTATGGCCAATTTGGGTTATCCTATGGCCAATTTGGGTTATCCTATGGCCAAGCATTTTTACAATGCACACAACAGCGCTCCAGATAGCCTTATGGTTCAAGGCCTAGAAACCATCCAAAAGAACATTCAAGGTGGTGATCGATTCAAATTATTATTGCAGAGAGAAACCTTTTATATATTCCATATGCAGGCTACAATATACCCAGGACTGAACGAAGAAATTGACTACAGTCCTTTTTAATAACTGTGTGGACTGATGTCTGTGTTGCTTCAGAAGCGTACGTATTATGTTTTGTTGTTTGTATATACATTTAGAATTAACTCTTTTTTTATACATATGTATATGT